CAACACCTCCTAACATCGTAACTATTATGGTATAAAAATTAGGCTCAAGGTCCAAGTTCTTGCATCTGATTCACATTCATTTTTTTTAGTGGGACTCTCCAAGTTCAGTTTGTCAGGTAAGATTCCTCTCAATCTAAATACATGATAACTGAAAAGACATCTTTTCTTCCCCACATGCGCTCCATGTGCAATGGTAAGTCAAAGATAGCACAATAGCAACAAACACATTCAATAAGGGGGAAATTGAATAACCTAGGGAGATGGATAAATTATTAGGAAAATACATCCTACAAAGATTGAATTTCAAAGAAACAAACTTGAACAGATAAAAAATAAATAAGAACACTGAATCAGCAATCAAAAACTGCCCGATAAAGGAAAGGCTAGAACTAGATAGCTTCACTAGTGAACTTTACCAGTCATTTAAAGACCAATTAATGCCAGTTCTTCTGACTCTTCTCAAAAAAATTGAACAGAAGGGAACACTTTCAAAATTGTTTTATGGAGCCAGCATTACACTGATCTCAAAAGCCAATCAAAGACACTCCAAAAAAAGAAAATTACAGACCAATATCCTTGATAAATAAAGATGCAAAAATATGCGATAAAATACTAGCAAATTCAATTGAAAGCATATTAAAAGGATCATACTCTATAATCAAGTGAAATGTATCCCTAGGATATGAAGATGGTTTAACATACACAAATCAATTGATGGAAAACACCACATTAAAGGAATGAAAGATGGAGTCACAGAATTTCAGTAGGTGCAGAAAAAGGATTTGACAAAATTCAGCACACTTTCATGATAAAAGCTTTCAACACACTGGGTTTAGAGGGAATATGCTTCAACATAATAAAGGCCATGCATGACAAGCCCACATACTCGGCAGTGAAAAACTGAAAGCTTTTCCTGTAAGATCAGGAACAGGACAAGGATACCCACTCTCACCAGTTCTATTCAGTATACTAGAAGTCATAGCCAAAGTTACTAGGCAAGAAAAAAATAGTCATACAAATTGGAAAGAAAGAAGTAAAACTGCCTCTATGCAGAGACATATATGACAGGATATTATATATAGAAAACCTGAAAGAGTCCACAAAAGGAAAAAAATACTTAGAATTAATCAATGGAGTCAATAAAGTTTTAGGTTACAAAATCAAAGTAGAGAAATCATGTGCAATTCTGTACCCTAACAAACCATCTGAAAAGGAAATAAAGAAAACATCCCATTTAAAATAGCATCCAAAAGAATAAAATACTTAGGAATAAACTTTGCCGAAGAGGTGAAAGATCTGTGTAATGAAATTTACAAAACACTGATGAAAGAAACTAAAGGAAACAAATGAATAGGTATCTTATATTCATTCAATATATTCATATTGTTAAAATGTTTGTACTACCCAAAGCAATCTACAGAGCCAGTTGTAGCCATATGAAAATTTCAATGGCATTTTTTAATAGTAATAGAAAATCTCAAAATGCATATGGAACCATAAAAGATTCAGAATAGCCAAGGCAATTTTGAGAAAGGAAACAAAGCTGTAGGCATCACTCTTACCGATTTCAAAATATATTAGAATGGCTGGGTCATATGATAACTCTATCCTTAACATTTTGACGAACTGCCAAACGGTTTCCCAGAGCAGCTATTCTGCATTCCCACAGCAGTGTATAAGGGTTCCAATTTCTCTACATCCTTGCTAGCATTTGTTGTAACCTGTCTTCTTGGTATAGCAGTCCTACTAGGTACAAAATGGTATCTCATTGTGGTTTTTATTTGCATTTTCCTAACAGCTAAATATGTTGAACATCTTTTCATGTGCTTATTGACCATTTGTGTATCTCCTCTGGAGAAATGTCTATTCATATCCTTTACCCATTCTTTAATTAGATCGTTGAGTTAAAAGAGATCTCTATGATTCGATGAGATCTTGAGCTTTTTAAAAAAATAAAATGTAACTGACTTACAATATTATATTAGCTTCAGGTCTACAACATAATGATATTTTTATATATTGCAAAATGATCACCATAAGAAGTCTAGAATAGATGAAGTAAAGTAAGAGGTACAAATTTCCAGTTGTATTTTTTTTTCTTTTTATGACTGTACACAGAGGCAAAGAAAAACAGGAGGCATTTTTTTTCTATTTTGAAAGACAGTTACCTATTGTTATTCATCAAACTTAGACTTAAAGTGTCTAAGAAGTTTTATTTGTGACTGAGGCAATAACATTTCTAATTTTGTTTTGTAGGATGCAAATTCTTTAACTTTGTTTGAATGCTTGCCTGTTTGTTTATAATCCATGTTTTATTCTAATTTTGGTTGATTTATTTAAAAATTACTGATAAGAATGAGATGTTTCCATGGGCTCAAGTTATATATTGGTAAAAATGGGTGTAGCAATGGAGGCTTGGATAGGCAGTAACTAGGATTGGTTGCTTAGAGCATCCTTTCAAATATTTATTATTTTTCTTTTGGTTAATGTATTTATTCACTGTTGTTTAATATGTGCATATGTAATAAGTAAGCTTTAATCTTGTTGTCTTTCCCCTGAAATTATGTTTTAAATTGTTCTATTATAGGTCAACTCCTATTAAGAT